AAATGGCTCAATGCACAATAGTTCTTACGAAATCTAGACCGGTTAACTTCAGGAAAAGGAGATACATTTCCCCTAAACATTTTTAGCTCTTTTAAAAACAAAATGAACAAATTGCATCCATTATCTACATTGAAACATGACTTAAGTCACAGAATGTGACAGAGTGTTAACACATGTCCAGATTAAGTCACTCTCATTTCATTTTTTTAGAGAAACCAAAATGGTGCTCTTCTTCAGTCAAAATTAAACTAACCCTTATACTTCCCGCCTTCAGGGCGTGGAAGAAAAGCATTTTTAAGACCTAAGGAGTAACTTGAATGATTTGTTAGATTATGGTGTGATAACTATGAATAGAGTGCACTCTTAATAGACCGCAAAACCAAACCAAAACAAAACAAATCATTTACATTAATCCTCATCACAATTTAATTACAACAGGGTTTGCCCTAGACATTAAAAATTAGGAGTCATTATGACCCCCAACTTTTCAGATTAGGAGTCATTCATCAATTTTTGGGAGTCATATTAACTAATCTCAGAATCTCGCTATCAGGATGAAAAATTAAGTAAACATAAACAAGGTAAGATTTTAACTTTTTATATTCTTCATTATTTTAACTGTAACATAAATATCTTTGATTCACAATGTCAAGTATATTGGGCCTAATACTCGATAAATCTTTTTTTACACTATGAATCATAAATAACTTCTATTCTAATCTTTTTGGAAACTGTGAAAAGTGCAACGTAGATCGTGATGGGTACTAGGCAGAGCATGTATACTGTTGTGTTGGTCGTCTACCACCTGCGACTCGACCTTCGTTAACTCTTTCAACACCAGTCAAACAGAAGTGTTTACTGCTGGGACACCGAGTTCCAAGAGACTCTTGTGTGATAGATGAAGCCAACATTTATCAAAGAAAATACCTGCTTGTAAAATATATTTGCCACTACATGTTATACACCATTTGAAAGGTCTGATCCTATGGTTTATAAATATGAAAGTTATGTTTTTCACATTATATAAAATAATGCATTTACAACTTAATTAAGTTCGTTGTAAATAAAAAATGTAAGCTAATGCGTTGTTAACGTCCAGATTAAGGACCAAGGAAGCGAAAACTTGACGATTTTCGGCAAATATAAGATTTCATAAAATCCACTTACCTATTTCTGTTTTATTTTCATTGTTTACGTAATTGGAAAATCATTTTAAAAAGAATTATACCCATTTCCCGATAACAGCGGCTGTCCGCTCAGTAACATGAAGAAATACCCCCGTTTTCGAGGCTTTGTATGAATAACACGTTCGTCGAAGAATGGCAAATGACACATCGTTAGAAAGCTTATTACTTTATCTACACGCTCGTAACATCGGCTGTTTTTTTTCGTAGTTATAACAAGCGATTTCATTGGAATAAAATTGATTTCCAATGACGCTTTCTTGCCGAAATCTGCTACAAGTTTCGCGATTAGTCAATTTTGAGCACGTGACCTAAGGCAGCCAATCAAATTACAGCTGTAATACCAAGCTCGTGTTTGATAAATTTCAGAAGTTGGCGAAAGGTTTTTGTTAAATCGTTATTCTGAACGTTTTAAGCAGGAAATCACGATAAATATTAAAAATATGGAACTTCGTGAATGTATCGTGCTAGGTTACGAGCTGTGACAAAGATTTTTCACGCATATATTTTTGCATTAAACATCGTGTCAGAGCCGAGAATTCAAGGCGACGAAAGCCGAGATGTCTTATATTACACGCGATCGCACAAAACGATGGAAGTAATAACTTAGATGTAAGCTTGATTACTTTTAGATATATTTTTGTTGATTTTATTTATTACTTCGTATAATATATTTAAAGATTTGTTTAACACGCCTTTATTTTGCTCTTTGACATGTTCGATGTAGACCCGTTGTCGAAATGTGTGTCCGAGAATGTTATTTTCAATAACATCGCGGGGAAATAGTGAATAATTTTTTAATTTATCGATAAAAAATTATAAATTGAAATGGAATACGTATTTCAGACATTGTGAAATGTGATAGATTTAATAAATGAATGATATTACAGGTAGGTCCATAAAAATATATACTATTTTTACGTGACTACGGCTTGGCCGGTTAACCCGCTTACGGTGTCTGGGGACTCGATGCTTCTTGGCCGAAAACCGGCCTACGGTGTTGAAAGAGTTAACCGCTGATCATCTATAACGCTCATCAATTATTTGGACCCCGAAGGTAGCGTTGTAACGAGGGATCACTGTATTTTCTTTCTGACAAACGGAAAGGTCTCAGTTTACTAATTGTAATGGCTGTTTCATTGCGTCAACACTGACGCAGTAGAAAATATTTTTAGCGTATTTTCAATTATTTATGCGTCAAATACGCAGGTTTTCTGCGTCAGGGCGAACCCTGTTACAATCTTCCAAAAACATAAGATTGGGGATAAAAGAGAAAGGAATCTTTTGCAAATATTATGTAACTTACATTACAACCAATATAACAAAGTGACTTTACAGATGATGTTGGTTTATCAGCTCATAATCTAAGAATCTTAACAAATGAAAGTGTTTTTTCATTTAAAATGAAATAATAATAATATAAAAATGTTACTAATCAGTATACAGTTAGACCCTACTCATTAAACACCATCTCCAATTAAGGATTGACTGTGTATTTTTCTCGGTTCATTGAGGTATGAATTGAAAAACCAATGTGCAAACTGTATGAATCCGCGTAGTCGAAGACATGAAAGTTGAACCGAGGCGAGCGGGGGAAAAACCGGCGAGCGAGCCTGCATGTTTGCTGTTTCATTCATTCTCGGCCATCAGTTTAAAAGGGTAGTTTGGACAATGAATATGCATAAAAGTTGCTAAATGTCCTGTGCATAACGATACACGTGAGCAGAAAGGGAGTTCCCTCGACCGTAATGTTGGGATTACCTGACATTCCGCAGTAAAAAAAGAAGTGCGCCTTGGTGGGCGTGGCTTAATTTTTTACATTCATTGGGAAATGAATGCAATAACACGTGACCAATTCAGCTAATCAGAATGCAGGAATTTCAATGAACACAACGAAAATGTAATTATTAACATATACGCTAGTCACAGGATGGACACAGACAGTGAATGCCAAAACGAAACAAGTGTTCAATGCAATGGGACCATTACATGCTCAAACATACCCTTGTCATCTTACCAGACATATACTTGAATCAAATTTGAACGAAATTGGATAAATATTGATTATATTATTATATTATACATTTACATACTGCAATTTTAACCATTCAGAGGCCTCCATTCCATTGCCACGGTAACTAAAGTTCTCTGAACCTATGGCATTGTGATCAGAGTTCCATAACACATACCGGTATACATTAGGGCTGGAACGAGTCCAAATTTACTACCTGGGTACCCACTCCCCTATTACCTGACCCTACCTGGGTACCTACTGTAGGTCTCAGGAGATGTCTCAAAATGTCTGATTGGGAACATTTTTAGCATAACCCCAACAAAACATAATTAGATACATGTATTAAATAATCTGGTCATTCATACACTGAAGTTGAATAGGTTATCTCTTTATTCAACCATATGAAAAATCAGAAAGAATGGGTGCACAGTCAGAAAGAAATGCAAACATTAGTGACTTGTAGTGTAACCATAGAGTTCTAGATATTTTTTGTCATTAAACAATATATCATGTGATTAACCATGGGTCCGGGTAGTCCTGTGGGTACCCGGGTCCTACTCAGTACCCACCCGACCCGGGTACTCGAGTTACCCGTCAGAGCCCTAGTATACATATTGCACCAAATCAGACAGTATCTACATTTCAACCAGCCAGAGGTACATGTATTAGGATAGTACGGTAACGGAAATCATGAGGTTACCTTGTAGAGTATCGTGAGAGACATCTTTGTAATACAGTAAGTTTGATAGAAGTCAGCTAAAAGAATCAGTAGTCATACCCTTATACAAAACCTGCACACAGCAACCAGCTCAGGTCGTTGTAAAGGGGGAACCAAAATTGATAATACACTTGCACAGCTAGACAAAGTAATGATCAACTTTACTTGCAAAGTTTCATGACTGTTCGAAAACTTTATGTGAAGTTGAAATAGATCATCAACAATCTAGGCTTGCTGTAACAGGTGACAAAATAGAGACTTGGTTGATATCATGTTGTCAATCACTGGATTGTCTGCTCCAGACTTAAATATTACAGGTCGCCATTTAATATATAATTTGAATACTGCCGAGTACAAAGTTAAAAAAACAAATTTGATCATGTTTGTTGTCTACATTTTGAACAAGGGTAAGGATTTTAGTAGCGCTTCAAATATGTTTGACATCTGATCTTATAAAACATCCATAAAATCATGACAATTTAAGGTATGTACACATACCAACAAAGGAAAGATCACAATTGGCATGACACCATCCATCTCCATCATGAAATCCTATTCTTTTGGACCTTCTTATTCATGAACAATATGTAAAAATAAGTGAAATAGGTAAATTCTGGATCTGTATTTCCAAGGAAGCTTGAAAATCCTTTATTTGTTTTAATTTCTCTACGTGCTCCTGCAGTACAGAAGAATTATTTCAACTTACACTTCGTTTTCATCTGTATCAGTATAAGTCGATCTTATCAGCTGGTTTTATAAATTAAAAATCAATATTCCCCAATATTTTATAGTTTCGTATTCTTTCGTGACACCACGAGGATAGTAAGGGTGGCGCAGATGTCAGTCTAGTGTCAGACATTTCAAGTCAACAGTTTGATACACACATCAGTCACGAGCATGTAACCGACATGCCGCCGCCACTATTGGCAGCGATCATCAATAGACGATCAATGTCAATCGATGAGATGTCAGTTTTTCAGAAACTTCACTTTTCTAACGCCACTGAAGTTTGTCATGTATCCATTAATGTGATAGACTAGCTACCTTGGTACAATACTAACTAATCAGACAATAAATGTCTTACCAGGAGATGATGAGAATGAAATGACAGGCTATATGTTCCTCAGCATCCTACCCGTCAATCGGCACGTCTCTCGGCATCAGAGGTCATTTGTTTACGTCAGATAAGAGTTAGCTCCCTTATACCGATTCTCATTCCGCATATCAGCTCTGACAATGTCATGATGAGGAATAACTTATACAACAATAGATGTGAATTTATCATGTTTAATTAGACGCTTGCTAATACTTCTTATAACCGAACAGAATATTCGACGATGTGCCGACTGCCGATTACGGAAATGACGTTCCGGTTCACTGACCTCTTGAAATATTGACCTTGTTGACCTGTAACCTTTGACCTCCTGTCGATCAAAGAGTTTGGCATCTTCTGTCATCGAAAACGTGTTAATAATTAGCCTTTAATAATACAGTTTGTAATTTCAATCATTTGTATTTGAGGAAATAGAAAGAAGAATCGATGTGATAGTTGTTCATACGCGCCAGAAGTTCAACCATGGATTCCCCTTTCACAAACTTTTCTTCCACATGATTGGCTGTTGCGGTAAGAAAACTTGCTCCCTCCGTAATAATGTGTGCAATCTAATATCGTTTATATTTATATGTTTTCTATACTTTATCCCAATTTTTCAGCATGGGATGTTCCACAGAAATGTATTCAGTATAATACTTAAAAGAAATATTGCAATATAGAACCAGGTTTAATAGACATGAACACAGAAAAGTTTAGGAATTTGTGAAGGAGCTCACTTCCGGTAGCCTTTCCGTTTACCTCCCGCCAAGAATGGTGTGAGGTCTGTGTTGACATCTCCTGTAAGTATTCCACAATGCGTGATCTTTAGACGTTGTGTAAGTAAACACCGTGAGGTTTAAGTGCAAAATCATATCTTATCTTGTTTACTAGTTTCACGGTCTTAATAGATAATACGTTTGTGGTGTTTTTGTCATCTCGAGGTACTTTTTACAGAAGTTGCAAACTTGCTACTTTCAGGGGCCTAGTTTCCCAGTCAGGCCCCATACCCGTGCGTCTGTCTGCCAATGCACTCGGCACTTCTCAGAAGTGCTTCTGTAGGACTAATGAAACACGGCGTTATTTTGACTTATCATTATCTTGCAGGTGAAATCTAGTCGGATACGATGGTGGGGATTTAAAGACAGTCCCCAAACCGGCTTCAGAAGCGAGACATCCGAGTGACTCACAGGATACGTTTTGATATATACATATATATATTTATGGATGGACGACCGCTAGTGTGACATACTTCTATACTGCCAACATGGAGTTTTCTCTCTTCTACGTCACACTATGTTGTATAGTTTTAAAAGGTAAGTCTTTCCATTACCGAAGCACAGTTTCTAGAACTTTGACATGACTGGTCCACTTGTTGCAGGCATAGGCAGCTTTCTTTATGTGCCAAGTGACCCAGTTCTGGGAAGGCTCAACTTTCATTCACTGAAAACTAATTAGGAATAAATCTGGTGCCGTTGTTTAAATACATTGTATAAGATATTTGAATATTCGTGTATTATCTAATTATTATAATTAGATTCTCTTCTGTGATTAAGCTCTTACTAACTGCAGAATTATGACATCAAAATAGAGTGATTTGTTAACCATGTCCCATGCAGTTTGTCTTTTAGAAAGTTTAAGTGTTACCATTGTAAGTAATTGGTTGACCAGATTTCACTGACCACATGTAGCCTGTCTGACCTTTGTCCACTGCCCAGTGACAGCCTCCTGGTGAAGCTATAGGAGGTGGCTACTGGTGTTGGTTACCATCTTGGTGTAATTTACAAGTGGGCCAGTCTTATGTCTAGAATTCTCTCTTGGTCTAATTTACAACTAGGGCACTTATCTGGTGTGATCTGACAGCCAGCTGCTGATGCTGGAACCCTGGTTGGTTCCTGGTACACATTGGGTTCTGTGTCTCAGGCAGAGCTGATAAGAATTAACATCATCAGCATTCTGTGAGGTTTCCAATAGATAATGCAGAAAAATTGAATTGTTGGCTGAAATTAAAGGTTTATTACAATATGAATAATTCTATTAAAGTAAGAACTAAAAGAAAAGAAAAAATCCGAATTTTGAACTAAATAATTATTTTTTTTCGGAAATGTGCCTGCCAAAGTCACTTGGTCTGGAATCTTAGATAAATCCCTCATTTGTGATGGAATCATAGTAAAATTTTAATCCTGATGACAGTATTTATGAATAAGGCTGTGATATTCTTTTTATCCAATAAATAATAACAGAGATTCATTCATGGAAAACATGCTTAATAGCCTGAACCAACAATTAGGACATTTGAAGTACAACTTCCATCCATAATTTTCTCAACATGTTTGAAAAATTCTTTCCACTAATTGTCAATGTTAATGATGAGAACACTGATATCCATGTTATTACTTTAAGTCCTTATCAGTAACATGGCTATGTGGTATCTGCCCCTTTAAAACAAAGAAACAAAGCCCATACAGACTTGGTTGTGAAGAGTCTGAATGATAGCTAGGTCAACTTAACCTTATGAAATATTTATGTGTAAAAAATCCTGAACACATGGATTTGGGAACTCTTTCAATAAGTTATCAGACTTTCCCAACCTCCTCCACCCACCTATCATCATCACATTACTCAACAAGCATGTGACAACTCGGCAAAAGGAAGCAATTTCTCCAAGCATGTCAATTGCGAAAAAAAGTTTGAGAAAGAATGCAAACAATGAAACATTATTTAGGTCAAATAAATGCTGCCATTTCATCCTGTTTTTGGAGTTCCATACATCATGTACATGTCAGCGTCTCTTCATATTGAAATTTGTCCTTACTGGTTTGTGCAGTTGGGGATTTCATGAATGGGTGTTGGAAGTTTTCACACACCTTCATTAAATTTGATATGATATTTGTACCTGGTGACATTATCACACCACCCTTAAATGCATGGACTGAAATAGAGGCTCGTCTTTCTCCTGGTGGTCTGACATGGTCTGATGACTGGCTAGACGCTATGTTTTGTCCCCAGTCTCATTTCGCATTGTGTATTGAGAAGCCCATTGAAGAGTACTTAAACATGCGGCAACACTTCCCTGGTCTGGAAGCTGAACATTTTATGAATTGATATCTTCCTGTCAAAAACGCTTAAATTACGCCTGAGACTATTGTGAAGTAAATTCTATTATTTTTTTATTGTCCTTGATGTTTAGCATGGTTGAATATGCAATTTTCTCTGTCAGTAATAAAAGCTATTGTTATTTTAAAGCATTTTAACTCTATTGAGTCTGTATGATGTATGTTAGTTGATTTGTGGATTAGGAGAAAGTGAGGACAGGTTTAAGTTATTTATATCTAGAGTACAGATTCAATGAATGTGTTGTTCTGCGACATTGAAGATGGTAAACTTGATTATAGTCTGTCTCCCAGACCCTAGAGAATAAATAAAAAAGGAGTCCAACTCAAGTCTAGAATGATAGGACAAGTTAAGAATGCCTCAGCTCAAGCTGTAATTAAGCATTGTTCTGGGCTCCATTTGGAATCTATTTCTTATATTATGTAGATATGTTTTTTAAAGAAACATAACTTTTTTTCTCAACTAAATGTTAGTCTACATGGATTAGGATAGGCTAATATAAATAAGGTCTTGTCTTGAAATGGCATTTTAAAGTTGTAGGACATGAGCATTGATAAAGACTTGAAACTTTTATTGTTGTTAACTTTGCTGTCATTACAACGTTTAAGGGCCGCTTCTTGCCCCCACATCACCTGATCGACTTTAAAGGTTGTTTAAATCACTTATCTTATATCACATGCACTAAGTGTTACAAATGTGTGTGTAAGTTTCGAACTGTTTCATTCACTATGATCTTTAGTTAACATGGTTAACAAACGCCTTATGGGTTTTAACATGTTAAACATGTAGTTACATTTTCGAGAAATGTTACAATGTGCAAATTCCTGTGACTGATAACTATGGTATACTATATGTACCATATCTGCCTTAGAAATGCTATTCTTTTTATACCAGTCCAGAGGACCTTATTTCACAAGCAGAACAAGTGGGGACAGGGACCCCTTCAGCATAAGTACATGGGGTCATTTTCCACACTTATAGGGCCACACTCTGAGAGATCCTATAGGTTATTGATGCAGAATCACTGTCAACTAGTAAAGTCACCAGTGCATCGATTGTTTCTCGTGGCATCTTTCTCAGATGTAACATATTGCAGCAACAAACGTCCGACGTCACTTATTTATCCTAATAGCTTGTTTGTAATCACTGCCGTAAGCATGTCTCCTCAAGGTACTAGTTTTAGATTGGCTTAGTCATTGAATTAGATTTCTGATGATTTATACAAAGCTGATATTTCGTATTTCTTTCTGAGTTATGCTGCAACCATGTGAGGTCACAAAGCCAGGTTCATTGTAACTTTCTCCCTTTTTCAGTTTTTCTACCTTTCTTAGTCTGTCCCCAGGTGAGTGTCAGTGTGTCATGCAAACATTCTGTGTATCGCTAACATTACTTGTGTTCTGCGATTCTGCAATACCAGGGTCATTTGAAGCAGAACCATCCTTGGCATAATCAAAACTATGACACCTATATTTTCAAAAATGTGTAAGCTTAATTCTGATCGGACCATTTGTGACTTTCAGCCAATGAAAGGCACTGATATATACATTGAGCCATATGAAGCAGCTTTCCAAGTGATTTTAAATATGTTTGAGACAGTGACTCCCATAATTAATTTATAGAAAACAAACCCATCTAAATGAATGTTCCTGATGTCCCACTGAGCGGAAATATCATGCACCAACCAATAAATTTTTTTATCATGCACCAATCAATAAATTTTGGCGAGAATCATGTAAGGCCGCTGCCTTGGCAGAACACTGCACAAGTCCTCAAAATTTGTAGCAAGTCCGGCTTCAACGAGCCAAAAATCTTTACTACATTTATATTCAGTTAATTATTGGATATGTACTTGTCCTCGCCACAACTTAGTATAGTATTGAACTAGCGGACAAGCATTAATTTCTTTGGATCTATGAAGAGATTCTGTATTAACAATCATTGATGTAATGGTAGTCCTGCACCATGACCGTGGAATATATTTATTTTATGAAAAAATAATAATCTAGAAATGCATACAAAAGCAAGTCTAGCCATCTCAAGCTAGCTCTATTCTGAAATCAGCATAGAGAATTGTTTTTATTTTTAGAGTCAAGAAGGATATTGTGTAATATAAGATTTCAGAGACTAAATGTTAGTCTAATGTAATGGTTGAATGTAAGCTGTATTGGTTTTCAAGATTTGTAAAATAATAATTCAGGAAATTGATTTTGAATTAACAAATTGCAACTGAACATTTCCCTACAACTTGTGTGTTGTTTAGTGGTTATGTCTTGTTACTGAACATGCTGAAGTTGATCAAATCTGCCAGGTTCAAGGTACTTGGGACATGTGGGATGGGAGTGACTATGCTTTACATTTAGACTAAGTCTACGCCATTATGAGATTATAAGCCAGAAAAGTAGCTGGGAGCCTGACCCTGCAAGGATGAGATGGTGTAAGTGGCCATTGTTTCAACCACCTGAATCTAGATGCGCCATTCAGTTGGTTTATGGGGGATAAAGTTCAACTACAAAGGGAAATGTCCGATCTTGTGACTATTTGCATACTCTGCATTATGATAATAGATAATGGGAACCCTCAATACATGAGCTATGGAGTCAGTGTATTACCATGTTTACAGATATGGTAAATATATTTCCAGATCTTCATGTACACTGTACCATGTGTTCCTTCTTCTCAAAATGATTAGAAAGTTGTGGAAGGAGTGGTAAATTTGCATTGTATTTACCCAATGATAGGAAACCATTTTACGAAAAAATTAAATTATTTGGAAAAAATGCCATGCTTGTATTATCCTATTATGTGAAAGAAAGAACTTAACATATTTGTCCACGAAATACGATATACAAGCAATACATGTACCAACACAAAGTAATAAACATGATACAGTGTATTTAATGGTTCCCAAACTGCACCATAGGAAACTGAAATTGAGAAAATAAAACAGTATGAATTGTAAAAACTATGATTCTTGTCTTACCATTGCTTACAGTTCTGAAGATCAATAGACTAGGTAGGAATTTTAAAAAAATAGGGTCTGCCTAAATGGACACAATGTTTGTTTCTAGATTTATCTTAAATTTTGACATTTGCAGTACACTCCCTGTTATCTTGTGTATTCACTTCCTGCATTCACACCCACAGACCAGATGAACTGTTTGATAGGCAGACAATGAAGTTGATGGATGACAAAGTAGACAAA